TAGTCCCACTGGCTGTGCCAACCCATGGGCCAAACGAGCCCAGAGTGACCTTGACTGTCTGATTAAGCACTCGGAGGAGGCGCAGGCTGTGTCAGAAGAAGTGGGCCCGCACATTGCGGCTTGGCAAAAAAAACAGATCTGGAGGTCCGATTTCGCCCAAATAGATGTTAGTATTCTCAGAGCCAGGGAGTTCACCAAATGTTTGCCCCCCCCCTCTGCGAGCCCTGCGAGTCTCTGAAGGCCCTGGAGGAGGAGGTGACGGAGGCGGCCATCCACGAGGTGGAGGAGGTCTTCAAGTGCGAGGTGAAGGTGGACGGTACCAGTTGTGGACAAGAATTTCACAGTAAACGAGCACTTCGCACACACGTCCGGCACGTGCATCACATCGTTAGTCTGTGTTCGTTCTACACCCCGAGTAACCAGTACATCGTGTGTGAAACTGTGTTCGCGTCGGTGGTCACTGCCCGTCGACATCTGGTCCGATCGATTCAACGTGGGTACTGCGTCGTCGACATGGCTCGTTCGCTCACTGTTGTGGAAGAGCCGCAGTCTCTCGCGTGTCCAGGTTGCGCATTCGTGGCAGGCTCTTGGCTCGAGCTAAGAGTGCATCTGGGCCGACATCTTCCATTTCTTCCAGATCAGAGGGCCCCCGCTTCTATCGGAAAGAATCTCAGATATGGCGGCGACAAGCTCTGGCGATATTCCTCAGTGGATGGAGGACGCAGGCATGGGCGCGGACGTTGGCTGGTCGCTGAAGAAGCACAACAAGCGCGAGGCCGACGCAGAGGCTTCGAAGAGTGCGGAGCACGGCGCCAAGGTCCACAAGAAGGGCGACGACGTGCTCAACGACGCCAAACAGGCGGCAGGCAAGGGCGCCAGCAAGGCGCAGATCGTGCAGCAGCTAGTGATAATCCTCAGCAAGCTGGTGCTGTCGATGGTGGGAGATCTTCGCTCTGTCATCAGCGTAGTGTTCGTGACAGTCCTGTTGCCGGTGGAGCTGGCTTGCATCAAGGCTGCGGTCCAGGCAGGGAAGGGCTACCACGAGGAGGCCGTGCGCCTGAGGGAGGCTCACAAGCAGGACGAGGGCATCGACACCTCGCAGCTGGGCTCCCCGCGTCTGCGCGTGTGGAAGGCCTTCGTGCGGGCTCTGCTCGCGAGTACCGAGCCAGGCAACGCCAGGGACGTCCTCTCCCGCTACTGGAAGGACCACGTGATGCAGTACGATCTCGCGAGCATGGACAAGGATGTAAAGTACTTCCGGGTGAGGGTGCCACAGGGGAAAGAGCTCAAGAAGCGCTCGAAGCGGATGGAGAACAAAGTCAGGCTTCAGTGGGCCCTCACCACCACCCCGATCGCCACGGAGCTCGACCCAGTCTTGCGGGACGAGATGCTGCGCCTCGGAGGGGAGATCACGATCGGAGCGGCGCCCAGGGGAGTCTTGGAGAGGGACGCGCGTGGGCTCTTGAACAAGCTCGAGAGCAGCTCGACGAAGTAGGTATGAGGCGGATGCAGCAGCTGCTCTCGAGCGATGGGTTAAAGCATCTTATCTCTCAAGGGGTGATAAGCAGGGAGGCTGCTTTTTCTTCCCTCACGGCCCCTCTCCTTTCGGACGTCCCCTCCTCTGACTCCCAGGGACGAAACATTCCCGTGGCCAAAATTCAGCCGCGCCCAAAGGGGCGCGGGAAGGGAAGAGGGAAATCCCGTCCCCCCAGAGCGTGAGGTGGGTGGTTTGGCCAGGGTGCCCTTGCGCAGGGGATGCCGTTAGGGGCCCCCATCACGAGGGCTACTGCTGGGCTGAACTGCTCCCCTCTTGGCTGTGACAGTGTGGGTCGCCACCTCTGCGCCCTGTGCTAATACCTCTTGGGTTGCAGAGGGGCCCGAATGTTTCCCACCTGTGCCAGTAAGGACAAACCGTTGCAGCCCACAGTGGAATGCCGCCCAGCGATAGCAGCAGAGAGTGGAGCACCGTCGTTCTGTCGCCAAGGGATTCCAAGTCTAAGTCTCCTCCTCCTCCTCCTCCTCCTCCTCCTCATCCTCATCCTCCTCCCTCCTCCCTCCTCCGCCTCCTCCTCCTCCTCCTCCTCCTCTTCACTCCTCCTCTCCTCCTCCTCCTCCGCCTCCTCAACTCCTCTCACCCCTCCTCACTCCTCCCTCCTCCTCCTCCCCTCTCCACCCTCCCCCCTCCCCTGCTCCTCCTCCTCTCCCCCTCCTCCTCCTCCTCCTCCTCCTCCTCTCCTCCTCCTCCTCCTCCTCCTCCTCTTCCCCATCCTCCTCCTCCTCCTCCTCCTCCTCCTCCTCCTCCTCATCATCATCCCTCCTCCTCCTCCTCCGGCTACGATGATTAA